GTAGTTGTACTCGCTGCCGTTTAAAGTGAGTACCTGATCAGCAGTTAATCCATAAACTAAGTGACCTTGCACTACATCCACTACAGCGATCGTTTACGTGTGCTGTTAAATTTCGCATAATGCGCATCAAAATTGACATCTAACGGTATTGGCCCACACCGGCGTCGCATTGAAATTGCGTTGCCACTAGGTTTTCTTCGTTTCTTTGGTGTATTTCTTTCGTTTTATTTACCCTCATCACTGTTAACTATAATGCCTTCATCGAGCTACACACTATCTACAGATACAAACTCCGAGCAATCGTTGGCGCAAAATGAGAAAGACACTGCGGCTTCCGCCAACAAACGTGGTCTGATCTGGAAAATCGCCGTCGTGTGGATAGTGATACTCCAAATCAGCGGCTTCTTCTTCTTTCCACTTAAGAGCGGCTGGAAGCCGATCGGGATGATCTTACGCTGCGTCTTTGGCGTACATGCAGTGCTGATGATTATCCTGAATTTGTTCTGCATTTACGATAGTCTCCAATCATCTGCTTTGCCACTATCCAACTGGTTCACGTTTACGGTGATGAAATACATCGATATGTCCCACATGCTGAGCGATGTTCTGTGCATCCTTTTGATATGCTTCTACAGTAAGCGCATTCTCAGTGTACTGACAACGATGGATCGCGTTTATGGAGTTCGTATTGCCGGGTCAGGAAGGATCCTGGGGTTGACATTTGCTGCGGCAGCTTACTTTTGCATTATGACTGTTAAGAATGTGTATCGTATCTACACCGAGCAATTCAGCGCAATCATACTTGATGACATTGCCGAATATAACGAGAGATATTTCAGTACTCTAACAACGATTAACGTGGAGTGGTTTGTCCGAGCTTTTTTTGTGGGCCTACGGTTAACGGTTTTCGGGCGGGACGCCCTGGTCGGTTTTACTGTCAACATTATGTTCGTGTGCAGCGAAATTAGTCGGCTCTTAACTGTTAGTATTTCTACCAAGTTGACCAGAACCGGAAGTGCGCAGGTCGCCGAATATTTATCACTGATGCGATTGACGCAAATCGTCGAACAGTTAGATGCTAAATTCGCGTGGATCATGGGCATACGATATTTTGCTCTTGTAGCCGGCTTAATTAATTTAACTTTTTATTGCAGTAAGTATTCTTATGATCAGCAACCTCCTGCCAATGATGTGCTGGCACTCGCTACCTTTATTGTTTCGCTTATTATTTTGACGGTAGCGTGCGTCCAATCCAGCGAACAGGTATTTATCTACAGTACCAAGCTACTGGTATCTTCGGTTTAATCCAGTGTACAATATAACTAAAAAATGGTTTATTTCGTTGTGATGCCTACTGGGCAAAACAGGTGCTGCTCTGCTCGAACCCAGTGCCATCGACTTATGTGCACCGGTTGTGTTCGTGTTGCACTCTGCTTGTTGATCTTATTAATTATAATTCTGTGAGCCACGGACCGATATCTCTTGAAATTGTTATCGCGTTCCTGGTAATAAAGATAATTCCATTGTTGATTGCGGCTTCTTGGTAGGGTCAGCAGATGACGAAAATCAGCAAAGAATGTCGCCGCTTTGGGGAAAGGCACTGGAATAAACAGGAATTGAATGCGCTGGATCACCGTATTAACCACAGCGATCCAGCGTGTTTTACTTTGGCCGGCATCGTGATTTCACGCGAAAGCGGAATCCAGGTATAATAACGCGATGGCTTCCAACAATTCTTATGGTTTCCAATATTTAAAAATCTACATCGAAACTTTTGCAGGCTGGTGCTGCATTGGTCAGTGCATTACTTGTATTTGCGGAATTAACTAGCCCTGGGAAAATGACAGAGCTTGGGAAAGGCTCCCTGAATATCACCATAATCTGAAAATAGTGCTTTCGCATGACAAGAAAGAATACTCACATAAATGAGCAGTGGCTCTCTAGTAAATATCTCTGAAAATTTTAAACCCCGTTTGTTGGGGGGAACGTTGACGTGCATCCGTAAAATTAAGTAATCTGTTATTTGACCGATAAAGCAGAAGTGTGTGCATAAAGGGCTTATATTTTAACCAAAACCAAGAAATACTGCAGTGATCGATTCACCGGTTTTCACAAACGTTTGGTACTTTTATATCATATCCGTCCGATCAACGTGCAATCTTGCACCACTTACTGCCCCCTACCGAGCACCGCACACGTTAAACCGAACAGCAAGCAGCGTATACGACATTATCCGTACACGAGACTGATGATCAGTGGTGTAAGTTGATCTGGCGGATCAGTATTTGTACAGTTCAGTTCTTCGTTTCTGTTTGATTGTGCGTAGATTAATGTCCCTTAACTAATCCCTTTTTGGGAAATGTGTTACAGTTTGTGAAATGTGCGTGATGGCGGTTCACACAACCATATTGATGGGATAGAAAACCGACTACGGGTCCCGTAATACGGGAGGCATGTGTTTCATTTTAAGATCCGGTTTACAGATCTGTACATAAAGCTGGGTCGATCAAAAGCAAAGTAAAATATGCTCCACATGTGCATTAATTCAAATAAAATCTGGGTGAGACTATTGGCACACCTTTCAACCCTTTTATAGGCATCTTTTTTCTATTACATAATATTATATCTCGCACGCCGTTTTTTTTCTACTGACTATGGGCACCTGTTTCCTGTTTTCATTTTTTCCCCAGAAGCCTGATAAAGATTTTTTAACAGGCTTTCTGTTTTACGTGTTACAAAGAGTTTATTGACGATCTGCCATCACTAGCTCATTCACATGAAAATGTGCACTAGGCACTCTGTCCGACAATGTGCCGGTTTGATCAAGTTGGTAATGATTTGGCTGCTTTGATAAATTTTTTTGCATTCCTGAGGTCATAATGATAATTTTGTGGTCTTCTTGAGATATCGGACATCACGATGTCAATACAGCTGTAGGACGAAATGCGCATACCCAACATCTCCACATTCAGTACGCATGCATCGCAGTGCACTGTACGACCGAGTTCAAAATATCCGTTTCGTACAAGTGCACTACATACACCGCCTGCCTACAGAATGCTGGGTGTGGGGTTATGCGACCTTTTCGTCCTAAGCTGTAAACGGCCCGGTATCTTTCTTACGGATTTCATTTAGCACATGATTGACCATCCCCTTTTCTGTTCTTTCACCTCGTTCCACTATATCGTGCCTGGTTCGTGTGTTGGGATCGTGTACAATCTGACTAAATGAGGAGGCTACGGTCTATGTTAAAAAGCCTGCGAACAGCCTTTTTTGCCCGCTGAGGCTGATTGATCAATGCAGCCTCTCTGCTGTGACTATAAATAGACCGAAGACAGAGGATTTCAGTGCTACTAAAAAGCGCAAGCTGAATGCTGCCTCGCTGTATCGATCGATCGGCACATGTGCGTGTGAGTGGGTTAATCCGCTCGCATTCACTTACACACGTATGAGTGTGGCCGTCTGTGCGCGTACGAGCTGTACAAACCGGTTTTCGCTGTCTTCGCTAGAACGCACACCCTAAACCCGTAGCTTCCTTTCTTGCTCGCATTGTATTTGGGTTCGTGTGCGACGGGGTAAAGGGATTAGTTAATCGAAAAAGGGTGCCTATAATATTAGTGGTGAGAAAAGGATATGCCTATAGCGATTCCATAAAATTTTGCGTTTAATGGGTTTTAATTCCCGGCAAATCCCTCGTGACTCTTTTGCAGTAGACCGACATCAATCAACGCCGTACTCTGGGGACTTTTCTAGTACTACTTCATGTACAGAAAAATCGTTTCTAACACTTATATATGTATGCACTGTAAGAGAACCTTTAGAGTTCGGCGTTGCACCTACCCTTCTTTCTGCCAAACAAAGTCGTAACAACCTTTCTACGTAGAAAACCTGCTGCGTGCGCAAGCGCCAACTTCACATCGTTATGGTAAAGTTCGTCGCCCTTTAACATGACTGTTGCTTACCGCACTCGTTCCACTTCGCTTTGAATCATTTCACGTCGCTTTGATTTGGACAGTCGTGAAAATTTGCCTTTCTCGGAACGAATAAAACACCATCACATCTAATGTGGGATAATATGACCAAAATCAATATGGGAAAGGAGCCTTCTCGTATCTGTCGGGATGTCAATACAAGATGCACCAAGGACAACGAAAAGCCCGAACGGGGATTCATCGGGAAGGTTACTATGTTTTGGGTTATATATTTGCAGATATGCGGCTACTTTTTTTATCCGTTTGACAAACGCTCGAGAGAAGGCAAAATTTTACGTTATGCGATGTTCGTGTACACTGCTCTGAATGTGGCTGCGAATTCCTTCAATGCCTACGACGAAGTTAAGTACTACGCACCACCACTGTCCAATTGGTTCACGCTGCTAGTGTATCAAGTGATTGATACATCCGATTTTATTTTAAAAATACTTTGCATATTTTTCATGTTTTCGGTCAGTCAGAAAATTGTAGAATTAACCAACAATCTGGACCGCCATTACGGCAGAATGATTACGCGGAAAGAAAGCCGTCTAATGACGCTTTCCATGGTGATTTACGTTGCCATCATGGCGGTGCGCAATGGATACCGGCTTTACCAAGAACAGCTCAGTCTTCTACCCCGGAACTTCGCTGGCTACAGAGCGGACTTCTTTCCAAATGTTTCGGCCAACAACATGGTGCTTATGGAATGGATAATTCGAATTCTTGAGATGCTGATTTTATTAACTACTGTCGGGCGAGAGAATCTGTTTTGTTTCATGGTATTCATTGCGCTGCCATGCAGTATGATTGTCCGACGAACGATAATGAATAATCGCCAGAAACTCGCCGCTGGTGAAACTGTTTCGGCGAAGGAGTATGAGACGCAGCTACGGTTGTTCCACATTGTTCACAGCCTGGACAAATGTTTCTCGGTTATTACAGCCGAGCGAGTCTTTTCTTCCATTGTTACTCTGATTTATTATGCATTTGACCTAGGCAAGTACTCACCGGACGGTCGTCCTCCATCAGCAGAATCGGTGGCCGCATTAGCGATGTACTGCCTGCACTTGTGTATCCTTGTTACTGTCTATATCTACTCGACCGAGCAGGTACGCACCGTCCTTACGCAATGGGTTGCGAAATTATTTAGGAGAAACACCTCAATACACTTTATTATTAGATCAGTGATTAAAGTACATAACATCAAAATAGTATACAACATAGAACGAAAAAAGGGCAATTGGCTAGTTGGTCCGCGGTTGAACGATAAATCCACACACTGTATGGAACCGGGTTTCATCGAATAAGTCTAAAGCGTCGTACTGCGGTTTAAAACAGAGGCGCTTGTTTTGCGAAAGCCTGCGGTAAATCAAAGCATTTACTTTTTTACAGTAGTTATGAATTAAGAATATTATGGAAGCCTGAGTATTGTAACAGGTTTTTTTAATGTTCGGTGTGATATAAGTACGTCTTTGGGACAGTATACATTATACAATGTATTTACAGCAGGTGTTATACGTACTGGACACCGCTCGCTAACAGCGGTTTCATTGTTTCGACAGGGTGTGGAAATGGCGGAAGTTGCCGATATTTGCTTTGGTCTAGGCAAAGTAAAATGGAAAAAGGAAGAGTGGCTTGCACTGTATTCCTCTGCTAAGCAACGGAAGCTTGTTTGTTTTACTGTGGCAGGCGTCATGATTACCCGGGAGAGCGCTTTCCAGGTAAGGCAAGTATCATTCTAAGTGAAAAAGGAGAATCTAAACGTCATATTACGAATAACTTGCGATATTTCACAATATATCGCATTTGTTGGTGTTACTTATCGGAATGTGCAAACGCCGAGTAATTCAAATTTCAACCGTTAGCTGAAAGTTAAATGAACTCTGGATGTTATAAAGTGTAGCTTTTTCGCTTGCTCTCTATGTTTTTTTTTTCTGGCTCTTTTTGTAACCAATAAATCGGTTTACAAAAAAAGTACTCTGTACAGATACACTAATAATACAACCGTTAGCTTATGTAGATGGGTGCTGCTCTGATCAGCACACTGTTTGTCTTCGCGGAACTGGCCAGTGGGAACAAATGTCAGGAAGTCCCAGCAAAGCCTGTCAACTGCAACCAGGTGTGCCACATTTAATAAAGTTTGAAAACAGTATCGTAGGCTGTTAACGAAATTACCATTTCGGCGGTAGCGAATGAAACTTAAATTTGCACTATAGTTGGTGTTATTACAATTTACCATGTACTGTGTACATAATGGTTGCACATACAAAACAAAAAACAATTCCTACGAATAAAGGTCGTTGTATGCATTACAGACTCTATGATAGGCGCAGGACGGCCACTAAAAAAGTATTGCACACGGTCGGCAATGGAAAGTTATGGCAATCAGCACACTTAGTTCGTGGTGAAACTTTGGTACAGTCCTTGGTTTTTAGCATTCGTATAACATGGATCCGCCGTCCAGATAACTACGACCAATTTACTACAGACAATGTAACTATTAAAAATAACAATCCTCTCCTTCCCTTATTTGATTTTCGAGCAGATTTTAATTAAACATGCGTCCTTCGACGTACGTACGGGAGCGGAAAAAGGATTTTGTGTCGTATTTAATGTGTGACTTCAAATGGTTGAAGTACGATGTGTTGCAAATTAGGTTCAAGCTGTTTTGCCCTCGTTGAATAAAACTTAGTTCACAATATCGACGTTAGCAAACCGAAGATGCTGACTTTACAGTTCCATCGAAACCTTTAGGCAGTTATGACGAATATTCATACACGGTACTGACAAAAACGAAAAATCATGAATTATGCTAATACTGTACATTGAAGAGGACAATCTTGCGATACTTGAAGCTGAGTACGCGTACGAAACGTGGCAGTGAATAAGTATGACAGTTACAAAGGACAAAAATGCAGGAAACATAAAACCTGCAAGATACAACATTGCGATGTTTATTCATATGTCCATTGCAAAAGACCGCAGAATCCCATAGTATTTGTGCTTAACTGCACTGCATGCCGCATGTCTCTTGGCAGTTAAAACTGCTGCTGGCTACGTTAAAACTGCTGCCTTGCCGTTATATTACAGTAACTTTATATCGCCGTTTCATTAAAATACTGAGATACGTAGAGAACTTCGATATCCTGCATTTCGCCCAAAACAAGTGAATCTATCCCATCCGGTTTATTGTTTTGGCTAGCAAACAAAGCAAACGCAGACGACGTAACACGCCGTGCGCCTTGAACTTCTTACTGAAAGCCCGGTTTCTGGCGAAGCTATGCAAGAAGAGAATTCCGCCCTTTCAGAATGGTAGATGATACAAGTGCAGATAAAACTGATCTGCATAAGGAATCCAAACTCATCAACAAACGATTCATCAAGAATGAAGAAAAAACAGCGCGAGGATTTATTTGGAGGATTACCATCGTCTGGGCAATTATACTGCAGTTTTGCGGCTGCTTCTTTTATCCGTTTGACAAACAGTCAAAAAGAGGCAGGATATTGCGCCTTTTAATGTACATGTACATTGCACTTTTTATTTCTGCGAATTTGCTGGCTACTTTTGATGAGATCAAGTACAGCGCACCGCCATTTTCTAACTGGTTTACACTGCTTGTTTACCAAACCATCGATGCGTCGAACTTCATCTCTAAGATGCTGTGCATGTGTTTCATGTGGTCTGTCGGCCATCGAATTCTGCAGTTAACCAGCAATCTTGATCGCAATTACGGCAGACTGATAACTTGGAAAGACAGCTGCAAAGTTATCGCATATACGATCATCTACATAGTAATCATGGAAGGGCGAAACGGCTACCGATTCTACGAAAACCAGTTCAGCCAATTTTCCTATGTTTTCACAAACTACAGGATGCGCTATTTCCCAAATATGCCGGCGTTTTACATACCGTTCATGAAATGGATTGTGCGCGCTCACAACATACTGGTGTTCTTGGCGAATATTGGACGGGGACATCTACTGTGTTTCCTGATGGTCATTGCGCTGTCATGCAGGGTGGTTATCCGGCGGACCGTACTTTATATCCGGCATCAGTTAGAGGTTTTTGGAGGAATCTCGGCACAAGCATATGTGTCGCAGTTCCAGTTCATTCCCATCGTTCAGGGCTTGGATAACTGCTTTGAACTTATAGCCGCTGATCGCGCCATTGCTATTGTAGCAAGCCTCATTTACTATGCGTTCGAACTCGGCCAATACTCGTCCGAGGGTCAACCGCCTTCGATACTATCGCTTTTTGGTTTAGTCGTGTACGGTGTGCAATTTTGCATCCTGTCCGCTGTCTGCATATCTTCCACCAACCAGGTGAAACACTAAAATCAGTTTAACATTCGATTGTCGTCAGATCTTCTGCAAATGACTTGCAAATGACTTCTGCAAATGACTCGCTTAATGTGCTGCTCCGATTTTATGGCTTATGGTTTAGGGTTTAGAAGTCAATGAGATCGCCGAAATTTGTTTGTGTCTTGGAAAGGATAAGTGGAAAAAGGAAGAGTGGACAGCGGTGTATGTCTCTAGTCAGCGACGTGATCCGGTTTGTTTTACCCTGGCCGGGGTAGTCATTACTCGGGAAAGCGCACTTCAGGTAAGAGAATTTAAGTCAGTAATTACAAACCATACATTGTAGTTTTCTATTACGAGCGCTTTGCACAAAGTTTGAACGCGACGTAAGCGCTAGTTTATCAGGTTACTTTGCGGCGTTAGCAAAGAGCGAAGACATTCTGCGCACCCTTGCATATCTTTTCCTCATCCTCGATTCTACTTTCCATGACAAGCGTGCCAGTTTAAATTTATCAAATGAAGTCTACATGTGCCGTAGAGTGGGACAAAAACGTTTGTTCAGTATGTGGTCATGGCGAACTCCGCTAAGGCTATAGATTACAGCATCACTACGAGTACGATATATTGCATGTACAGGAATCCAGATACAAAATTTTGTGAAAAATTTGAGAGTAGCTGCTTATATGCTGCTGCTTACATCGGCTGCTTATATGCTGCTGCTGCTACTTATAGTGCAGTTTAACAGACTTTTTTGTTAGACGGGTGCTGCTTTGATCAGCACGCTGCTTCTTTTTGCTGAACTGGCCAACGGTAACAAATGTCCTGATTGTGGATCCAGAAACTTCAACTGCAGTCAGGTATGCGATGATAAGTCATTCTTAGTTTTTTGTTTAGTCGTCGTTACTATTCGATAAACGAAATACTAAACTATGCGGAAGTACACAACCCGTTTACAGATCCGGTATAAAATAACGTTTGCAAGTAAGAGTCGGGTTGCGTTGTTCCAGTGAGGCCTTATTTCACTTCGTACACCGTCACTGTATTACGTCGATTACAAGATTACGATCACAAGACATGTAACCATTACATTACAGGTGGTTTGAAAAATGGATCGAAAATGTAAGATATTTCTGACAATGGACATTTAGACGACTTCAGATTTGATTCCGCTGGTCTGTACAATCAGAAGGAATTTGGACAAACTATGCATGTTGACGTTAGTTTTTGTATATCGTTTGCTGTGAAAAGAAAACGTATTGCTATGCAAATAACACAGAGCCAACAAATTCGCGCCTGAAATTAGTATTCCGGTAAAGAGTTTACCTTGCATTAACATGCATCAGAAAGCGCGAGTTCCAAAGTTCAAGAGCTTTAAAAAATCAAGTTGAAAAACGAGGCGCAACTCTGGAAATCGGCTATAATACGCTGAGGACAGCTCAAGATTACTCGGCCTCTACAGCTTTTGTTAATAAAACTGAAAAATTAAACACATGCAAGATTTAATTCCCTTAAGTTCACAAATATTCAAAAAATGATATAAACGCAAGGAAGCACCAGGATCAGCGTTTTGTTGTAACGACATATTAGGCGCATTCTTAATGTAGCATGAAAATGGAATCGGCACACGCCCACATTAAGCGCACACTATGACAAGCGAAAAGCTGTACAGCGTATTTCATGCGAGCATTTTACTGTAGGTTCGTTTAGCATGTCTTAATTACATGTAAATGGCGTATCTGCCATGGCGGCTGCAATCTGTCACATAATATAAAGTTTCACCATGAACAAGCACACATTTTGCGAAGCAGGGACATACAATAGAAAAAGAGGTAGATAGAATTTTTCTTGCTGTTTGATGGTCCGTTACAAACGCCCATGCAAATTCTCTTCCCCGCATCTGAGTTGAAGTTAATTACGCCATCTCCTTTTAGCACTCAAGTGGGCTACAACTGCAAGGTCGGCAATCTTTTGTTAAATTTAATTCGCACTGCTGCTAGTACTTCTACATACCTGCGTGCAGTTGCAGGTTTTTGGGGCTCTTTTCGGTTTGCTAGAACTGGAGAGCTCGGAAAAAACTATCATGGTACTAGCCAACGCGGCAGCGATCTAGCAAGGGTAAAGGAATGTTGCAGCTGACGCAGTAACAGTGCTAAAATGTATAAATACGCCACGTACCCCAATGGCATTTTCCCGATTAATAATTATGCCGGCCAAAGTAAAACAAGGCAGGTTATGCTGCATCGCGGGGATATAGGCGGCTGTATATTTGTCATTTTTCCATTTTGCTTTTCCCATGTGGAGACACGCATCAGTGACTTTGGCTAAGTTGAGACCCTATCAATAGAATCATACGGTTGTGATTTTGCTGAGAGATGATTTGTATATAAAAATGATGCAAAATTCACAGATCTTAGAAAACAATTCCAATTTTAAGTTCACAAAACTACTCGAGTAACCGAGATTAATGCAAAAAAACCGTTTTATTTGGCTGCTCGTGCTTACTTTATTCATACTATAACACGGATTTATTAATCTATACAAATTATCATTTTCTCCGCTGTTATAATTATGCTATTCGTTTGTTGTGCGGGATAACAGATACAAACCTGGACATGCCATTATGGCATACCTGTTCGGTGGAGTAAGCACACGCAGCCAAAAGTGTACACAGCGCCACTACATGGGCGGCTACGGCGGCTAATAAGGAGGCAGGCGGCGGGTAATCAGGAGGGAAATTTCCCATTTGAAAAGACAAGAAAATTAAATTGGTAATAGCTGCATAAGCTCGGCTGGCGGCTATAATCGAGAAGCAATTATTCAGATCGGCAATCAGACGGCTCAGATGGAGCAAACGCATGTATTCATTAACTGAGGCATAACCATGGGAGCCCAGCTGACTGTGGACATTTGCGGAACTGCGGCGCACAATGCAGCTGCAGAACAGCATAACAATGACCAGAAAATCTAGTAGGAGTTCGCGGCCAACAAGTGTCAACCGGTTCAGAATGTAATAAACACGAACTGTCCATTCCCGGAGCAGCAACGGAAGAGAGGAAAAATAGTGCTCACCTGCAGCGTTTATCACATCATAGTGTTCTGAATCAGTTTGTTCTTCAAAAAAACGGACAGCATTTTTGCCAGGCACGATCAGCATAAACGCAATTGTACCAACGACGAATATCATTCGTTCTTTTCGAGTGATTAAAGAGCCGTAAAACCGATCGAGACTCTTTATTAGCTCAAATATACGTTCATTATACCACCACATCAAAGCCATGCACAATAAACTGGATAGCGTATCCGTGGCATTGTTCAGCTGGACAAATATCAGCGTCAGCCAGTTTGAAAGCTTAGGTGGCTGGTATCTTGCTTTATCGTAGACGGAAAGCAGCACGAAGCAAGTAATGACGGCAACGTAGACGTACATTATACTGCGTGCTACTATGGCGCATCGGCTGCCGTTGCTTGGCGGATAACAAATGTAGCCACGTAACCGAAGAAAAGCTAACCAAACGATGGTGACTTTCCAAAGGAACCCATATGCTGGTTCCGCAGTATAATCATTGCCAGAAGAACGTGACTGGCTGATAGTGGAAGTGCTTTTGCAATTTCTTATGCGCATTTCAATCGAACAATCTTTCCACAAAACGGATTATGGAGAAGATGCCACATCTCACACTGTCTGCCACTCAGAAAAACCAACTTTCGCTGTTATTACCGAAAATTACTAAATTTGTTATATTGGACATTTCCATATATGGAAACGTCCAGTTTTCAGACGTTACGCAAAAAACTTGTCTGAAGCGAAATACCTAGTCGCTGAACTAACCTTGTGTTTAAACCACTGTGTGCCCGAATGTTTTTCAAGTTGCGCCAAGGGATTTGTGTTGCAGAAATTAAATAAAAGGGAGGTTCTGTAAACTTCAAAGTAGCACTCCGCCGTCAGTTCCACACAGGCTCCTTTATTCCTGTGCTGCATCACACTCAAGTGCCGATATCTCATGTACATGTGTTTCAATTCCCGTGTTAACTTTCATCGTGTAGTAAAAAGTAGGACAAACAAATAAACGACAGCGTTTAGCCACGCCCGCACGGGCCGCACCATCAAACGAAACCCCACGTCTTGTTAAAACAAACGGTTCTGCTCCCATTGCTTTACCCTAGGCGTTCCACTGGGAACGCCACTACCTAACTGTAATTGTCAAATACTCCAAAAGCGATTCTGTAGTCCGCAAAATCTTTGCCCCGGTAATACAAAAACGTGTTGTCGTGTATCTGTAGATGCAGTTATTGGAGTATTTTTTACTATGAAGTTAAGAGGCTGTAAGGTGCAGTTTTTTATGGAATTGTGATTATATGGGTTGACAAAAGATTACGTTTATCAGAACCAAAGACGTCGGAGGAAACAGGCTCAGTTTATGAGAGTGGTTAAATCGTCCCGTTCGTAAGAAAGTAAAAGCAAATTAAAGTCAGATTAAGAACAGCATGACCCGCTTCCGATAAACTGAGTTCCTGCTACGCTAATAACAAACTGGTTATAACAATTAGCGGTCATACTCATGGTTAACCAAATTCACAATGTTACTTCCGTTTTAGTATTTTTTGTCATATGATATGCATTATGCAGTATGATAGCCATTATCACAACAATATAACCACTCTCCGGGATTTTTTGTAAGTATTTAAGCCCGACTACAGTTGCAGTATACAGGAACTTGTGTAGACTTGGAAGTGCTAGAATGCTCCGAAAGCATGATCATGGTGCCGGCCAGTGTCGCGCCGATCTGATAAGGGCAAAGAAAAATGTGAGTTTACTTTCGTTCACTAAGTGCTCGAAAGCATGCTTTAAGGACTAACTTTACTTACACCGAATGCATTTTCCCGCGAAATGACCACCCCGACTAATGTGAAGCATGGAGGATCGTTGTGCTTTAATGTTCGAGCATACAGTTCTTCGTAGTCGCCAGATTTCCACTTGGTTTCGCCCAAGTGCAAACACAGGTTCATCACTTTAGCTAAGCTAGCACCCTAAAAACAACAAAACACACAAGTTGCAAGCTAAAAATAACGCCGTACGCTTCGGATATACGAATTCTAAGACATCTTCCAGAGTAATTTCCTTTGTTATTAAGATGTATCCACAGCTTTGAGATAACATGTCCTAATTATGAAAGCTAGTTTTGAAAGAGTTTGCGCTGGTCCAATCTGTCTTCTACCAGGCAGCACCTGATCAGTAGAATATGCACATGCACCCAGAATCATTGACAGCACCACTACATGTGCAGCAGTGGTGCCTAACATTATTGCAGGCGGTGATTCGTCGGGAGAGAAGCTTCCCACGTGGAATGACAGATAAATTAAACTGGCCGTAGCCGCATAACCCCGGCTGGCCGTGATAACGGAGAAGCACTGGTTCACTTCTCTAACCAAGTAATTCAAATTAAGAAGATCCATGTAATCGGTAACCGGCACCCAATGACTGACGCTTAATTCCCGGTGAGTCCTCGCAATACCCTTACGGACAATCCGGTTGCTGAAAACGATGACGATGAAGACGAAACCGAGCAGGAGCTCCCGGCCAACCAGTGTCATTCGCACTATGACCAAATGCAAGCGAACGATCACTCCAACATGCGAACAATCTGACAAATGTTCGATGAAGGCGCTTTTTGTCTGCGAAAATTCGACGCCAAACTGTTCATCATAAAATCGTGCACCATTAATAACCAGTGCAGTTATTATGAGAAAAACCATAACTCTGCAAACAACATTTTCGGCTTGTTTAATAGGCGAATTTTTATACAGTTTATCAAGATGGTTAATTACATTAATGATAGGTTGATTGTGCTGCCACATTAGTGCAGTACACAGCAGATTAGCAAGCACCTCCGTAGCGTCAATTAGATGGACAAAGATTTTCGTCAACCAGTTCGATAGCTCAGGTGGGTTGTGTTTAGCTTGAATGTAGACGGAAACTAGTAGTGAGCTGGTGATGAGTGACACGTAGACTGACATTATGAAGCGCATCAACATTGCGCATCGACCTCGAATGCCAAGCGGGTAGACAAAATAGCCACACATCTGTAGAATTCTCAACCACACCGCTGTGACCCTCCATATATAAAACCATGCCTCGTTTGTGGATCATCACTAGTGTTATCGGAATCCGATTGTTTTTCCGGATAATAAATCTTCTCATTCCTATCGAACATCTTATACTAAACAGTAATGTACACCAGAAAAATGTAAAGCGAAATAAATTACTGCATGCTGTTGCAGCTGATGATCCCTTTTTTAAATCGTTCGTGCAAAAATCGCTTAAGTAACCAATGGAAATGAGTCGCTGGAGACGAATTCGAAAAATGCGGTTCTCTGCCTTCTGTTTCAGTTGGAGGCGGCAAGCAATCCCGCTCCGCTGTTTGCTGGAGCACACCAGGGATTTGATCACCTGTGGGTTTCGCCATTCATTGCAGTCGGCACTAGCAGCACAGGCTGCAAAGCACACCAGCAACGGAACGCTTTTCAGATTTCCAAACACTTGATGTTATTAGTAAATGATGGCAGTGTGTTGGCCAATGTGCTTATTTTCAGAATGCGGTAAAGTCAGAACATTTTCACGGAGCATGTATCATACACTCGCTGTCTTAAATTGGCATTAATTGATTTCACTAATTTAACCACTGTAGCGGCATTGCGCACGAACACAGAAAGCTTGACTTAGCGACTAACGATAAAAACAAATTCTTTTACAGTTTTACACGACATTGCAGCGCCTGATATGGGATTTCTGCTGCATTACTCTTACACACCCCGCGAGATCACCGAAGGCATGCTCGGAACTTTTTTTCCTTCGAGCAGTTTGCCGAAAAGGCCGGAACCGGTGCTGAGGAGAGCAGAGTGAAAAACCAAAAAATAGGTTGGCCAATAAGAGGCGCTGTCGTTACATATGCTCGAATTCATATCCGTTTCTCGCATGCATCTAACAAAGGGCACTCTAAGCAAAGGAACGTGTCTTGCGTCGTATTGCGAGGATTCCTTCATTCCTCCCCGTCCTTTTGAAAAACAACGGTGCTGTAGACTAATGGTTACTTCTTCCCAGGAATCAGTTAGGCAACCTTTAGCGAGATATAATAACAAGTTATGGGTAACCCAATGCACCAGCTCTTCTTCATCTTTCAGGCCCGGGCTTTGGAGTTGGCAGATTTACTGGCGCTAGAGAGCTCGGAAAAGACAATTACAGTGCTAGCCAACGCGGCACCAATCTAAAAAATAAAAACAGCATGAGCCGAGTGGATGTTTGACGTAACATGTT